TTTCTGTTTTATTTTATTTTTTTTGCATCTTCTTGAATGTAATTATGTTATTATCCGTCGGAGGATGTTAATCACAACCATCCACAGCTGAAGAAGTTCTATATTTGTAGTGGTATAATGAAGTAATGAGTTGTCATTTCGTGCCTCACTTCGTAATCGTCCGACACGGCGACAATTACCTCTCTGGTGCGTTTGTTTTTTTCGCCGTGCGCTGTCTTTTGTTTTAAATGCACAGAAAACAAACGAGCGCCATTTTGATACAGTTATAAACACCGCAATTAACTTTTTTTATTTTTATTATTGCTGAATGTGTGTTTTCTGGTTAATTTACTTTAATATCTTAATTAAAAATAGATTAATGTCAACAAGATACTTATCTGTATTTTCATTCGGATAGAATTTTATTTTAATCAAATTGTTTGATGTTAAAGTGTATTGTTTTATGCAACACTCAGTAGAGTGTTGTAAGACAAGTAGCTGGCTTCAGAGTTGTCCCCTGAAGTCGTCCGTCGTCGCCGCTAATGACATGTAATTCTGTAATTCCAAGCTCAATTACGATGCCGACGGCTACTGGAGTTCGGATTTCAGTGGTAACCTTAAAAATACTTCAAGAAATTCAACTGGGAAAATCTGAATACACATAAAATGCGATATCAGTTGTCGACGTTTAAGTGTTTTGCCACGTTTTACGAGGTTTTTATTTGTTTTACTTGTTGATTTCATTGCTGATCGGCCATTTTGTGATCGTCGGCCATTTTGAAAGTTTACGACACTTTATATTTACTTGTTTTATGAAACTATCAGTGTTTTTTTTATAGTTTTTGTAGTTTGATGTAAAATTAGGAGTAAAACAACTAAAAATGTTTTATAAACAGATATTGCTCAAAACTTAACCAGATTTTGAATTTAATTGTTTAACTATAACTAGAAAACTGTGGTTTTTAATATTTCCATGCAACGTTTTTATATTTTTTCATTTTTTGAACTTGCCTTGTTGTTCAACAAATATTTCAAAACCAAAATTAATCAATTCTATCCAGCTTTCCTTGAATTTTAGTAAAACAAACGTCAATTCACCTTCTAGAATATACAACTTAATGGCAAAATCTGTTAGTAAGCGCATAACTTAAAAATGCCTAGACCAATTTGGTCAATTCTTTTTTTTTAAATGTTTGTTAAAGTCCGAGGATGGTTTTTTCGGCGAGAAAAATTTGAATAATTGCCTGAAAACCCTAAAGACAGCCCTTTTCTATTGGATAAAAGTTGGCATTGAGATTCAATCATAGTTATAGTTAAATAGTTGAATCCGTAATGGCACGCTGAAGTGCATTATTAGCAATTCTTTATATAATTAATTTTTTAAATAAAATCGCAAATATTATTGACAGAATTGACACATTCTATGTCTAGAACAAAAGAGTAAAAACGAATTACATTTTTATTAAACACTACCGCGACGAACGCGGGAAAAAGCTAGTTTTTAAATATAACTCATCTTGTTTCACTAATATTCCAATCTATTTTGTTTGTTATCTTGCAATGTCCAGTTTAGTTAAACATTTTTCTTTGTTTTATTTACCCGAGTAATAGTAGGTCACACAGTGATTAATTATTATCTACGCTGGTGCTGTGCGGCGCGGCACGTAACGCCTTTTAATGTTTGCTTAATTAGATCAAACGAATCGAAATTGGAAATCGAATTTCGAACCCACCACAACAACAACACAAAAAAAAGCAAGAAATTGTTTTGTCTAACCGAGCACCACACTTGGTGCTAAACGCTCACTCGCTGCGAGTTAATTAGATTCCTGCAATGATTAATGAGAACATTCTACATACATTGTGTCCTAACTATACATTAATTAATTTATAAAAAAAATAATTTCTAATAAATGTAAACACACTGTATGCTTAGATATAAATCAATATCGATTCGACGTTGGACAGTGTGTTTGGGTGCGATAGATACAATTACGATATAAATAATTAAACGCGCGTTTAACGCCGACATTAATTGTTTAAAATGCGAACTCGTGCAGGCCGTACGCCTGTCGTTGTTAATAATTAATACTCGCGTTTGTTAATTAACAATTTATTATTTGATTGCGTTGGAATTGCGACATTTTTGATCGACTTCGATTTCCTTATTTCAAATTCGTTTTCGTCATAAATACAAACGGAAATTAACACAATTAATTGACGTGGAAGCCATATTAGAAACTATTAATTATTTGCTAATTAATAGCGCAACTAGCAACTAGGAACTGTTTTAAGCGTTTTTTTCTTATTCGTCGGCATTACTTTTCGTTTTTGTGATTTGTTTGCGTCTTGATCTAATAATTTACTAATAATTTCAACTAGTAAATGTAATTAGCAGAGCCATTAACGATTAATTACAATTATTGAAAAAGTGAGGTTAATTTATCATGGTTATATTTAATTTAAACTTGGGTTTTTATTTACAATGTGCAAAAAATGCACTGTTGAGTTTAACACTAAATTATATAAAAAGTTATGAATAAATATTAATAAAATTTTGTATACTAATTAATTATCTTACTATAAATAAAGTTTCAAAATTTCGTGGTGATTAAGTGTTTATTAATATTTTTAATTCAATTTTCAAAAAAATTCATTGGAGACTTCAATGCCATAAGTTTTTAAGCGAGGAACCCAAATAAAATATTAATAATTATTAAAATAATTAATAGATAACAATAAAATTCCTATTAGCAAGTACTATTAAATGTTATAAATATTTTCTGTAATTTTCAATGCGCGAAAATAATAATTATTATTTATTTTTAATTTTTCAAAATTTTTTGAACACATACACGAAAAAATTTATAAAAACGCGCTCACAAGAAGAGTTTAACACGAAGCGGAGTAAAAGAATGAAAAAACTCGTTATTCGACACCTGCCCGAGCGTTCGACGACGAGCGACGGGCGACGAGCAACTATATCATATATTTACACACACATTTAGCGAGCATAATTTATAACGAGTTTAATTTGCACGAGTGCGAGAAAGATGTGGCAGCGCGGTGTTCCTCGCCGGCATGCGAAATGTTATTAACACGCAACGCATCGTTTGCGTTCGTGTTTTTAATCGAAGCGTCGCGCAAACGCTTTTGCTTTTACAGCTTTTACAGTTTTACATTTTCGTCTTGAATCTTTTTAGAATAAGCAAAAATAAAGAAGAATATTTGGAAGTTACTGTTAGCGTTTGAATTTAATTAAATGAATTAACCATTAGTTTAATTTCGACAACAAAAATCATGTATGCGGCACGTCGTTACATCGTTACAACTTAATTCGTTTAATTACTTTAATTTTATTAGGGTTTTAGACGTGAAATTATTAACATTACGTTTAAATCTAAATTTTATTGAGGAATTATTATAATTATTTAGGTTTAATGTTAAATTTAGTGTTAAACATTTATTACTCTTTTTTTCTGAGTTTAAAATTTTAGAATTTGGTATTAAATTATAAAATCAAATTAAATCTGTAATTACTCAAACACCATTAAAGATATTAACTTAAATCTTTTAAAAATAAGTAAATTAACTAATAATAAAGGTTTTCTTAGTATTTTGTACTTTTAAAATTAATAATTGATATTTTAAATTAATTTTTTAAAAATAAATTCATTGGAGATATCAATGCTCCCTAAAGCAAGCGACGAACCTAAGTAAAAATTCAATTATTCTCAAATTACATGAGTTACACTACCCAAAATTTCAACATTAATAAATTAATATATTCCAAGTATAATCTAAATTATTTATTAATTAATCTTAATAATTAATACGTTTTATTGATTTTTAAATTATTCCTCAATGGTTTTTACATTTTAAATGAAACTATGTAATAAAGTTTTGTAGATAAATGTAATCTAAAGCAACCTTCGTGTGCGCATAGCCGGTGTGTGGAGGTAATGAGCATCACTCGCGTAATTATAATTTAATTTCGTGATAGCGATCTTAATGCGTCCGAAGGCAAACGACGGAAGAACGGCTAGAGACCAGACCATCATCCACGATCCACGCACACACTCGTTAGTCATCAGCGGTTGTTGCTTGTTTAATGCATTTCCTTTCCTTCCTCATAGCATTAAATAACATATCATATTTTTTGTTTTACACCAAAAAAATTGGGGATTTATAGTTTTTGTTGGTTTTGTGGCAGTGTGTCTCTTAAGTCGATTATAAATGTCATTAAAACACTTGTGGTGTGTGGGCAAGGTGTTGAAAACGTTTAAAATCACATTAACCGTTTGACATTTGGTCACCGCAACCAACAGGTAGCTACTGAACCACCCAAAATAGCTAAAATTTTGAAAATGACTCGAAAATTAATTTTTAGTTTAGGTTATGTTGAACGTAAAAATATACTCTAAGGTTTTAGTCAAATTTGACAGTTTTTTATATCTTTTTATTTAACATTTGATAATTTTAAGTTTTTAACATAATTTTGGTCAAATTTGTATATATTTAATGGATTTTTATAATTTTTTTTAATTTTAATTATTTTTTACAATTTATATCAGTTTCCGCACATTTTTGTCGTTTTTTACTGAAAGCATTGATTTTAACATAAAAAAGTGTTGAAAATTACATTTAAATTTCATTTGAAGCTAAAACCTGTAACGGTCAAACAATTTTCGATAGAAACGTTCGACAGGACGAAGAAGCGTAATTAAAAATTAATTTCACGCTCATAAACATATCCGCGAGTGAATTTGGGCCCGCGCGCACGAATTAACGTAGATTACAAATTACACAAACAACGGCTACAACTTAATTTCGTTTGCGGCTCTCTGTCCTAAGCGAAGTTTAATGACGTGACGCTGACGTGACTTTGATGTACTAATTACGTTTCTTTTTGTTTGTAAATTTTATTAATCCACTAATCAAATAGAATGAATAATTTTACTAAGCAAATACTACCAACCTATAAAATATTTAATTAAATAATTTATTTTGTTTGTTTCTAGAACCATCAGTGAGATCAGACAGCAACCCGTCGTTAATGGGCGTGTCGGAAGAGCACGCGCCGAATCCGGCGTGCGTGGAGCCGCGTCAGCTGCCGCCGGGGGCGGCGGGTGCAGGCGGACCAATGGGCGGCCATCCGGGCATGGGCGGCGGGCCGAGTGGTCTTGGCGGCGGCGAGGGCAGTGACGGCAGTGAGCCTGAACACGACGATTTTGCACCCAAGCGCAAACAGCGGCGTTATCGTACCACCTTCACCTCCTATCAGCTAGAAGAGCTGGAGAAAGCTTTTTCACGGACGCATTATCCTGATGTATTTACTAGGTAAGCAAAAAATTACTTAATTAAAATATTTATAATCGTTTTTAAACATTCTAACCTCAAAATACTAAAAATTTTTTCTTTTTTTTTCTTTCGTTTTTCACAATTTTGAGCAACATTTTCAACTTGAGCATTCTACAACTAAGTTGGTCCCTTGCGTGGTCTTTCAACGTTCATTACGTCGATAATAATTGCCGGATGTAAACACTTACGTCACTTATAACTTGCGTTTGCTGTTTGCGTTTTGCGCACTTTTTCCTCAAACTTTAGAAAAAAACTGTTTTTTTCAGTCATACTTTTTATAGATTTAATTTTTGAGACCACCTCAAAGCAAGTGCAAGTTAAGCACCTAGTTAATCAGCTTTTAAATAGACCAATAAAAGCCCGCAACCTAAATCGAACGGAAAAGAAGCATAAAAAAAAGAAACCCGTGCCGACACATTTAGATTGTCGCGGAATGCACCAATTTTCGTGGCCCACCGAAAAAATGCAGACAATGCGACGCGCGACGGCTGGTATAACTTTATCAAACACTTTTCGAACTTTTATTTCAAACCTTTCGGCCAGGACCGAATTTAAATAAAAATAATAAAAAATTTAATTTTTCCAAAAGTTAATACAAACGCAATAGAAATTAATTTAATACTATGACAATTACAATAAAATTAGAAAAATATTTTATTTCATCCCTGTGTAAGTTGACTTAAGTGAGCAGTGTACCAGTGCGCGTCGAGTAGTAAAAGAGAGTAAAGTGTGCGCTCGAGATTTATTCGTGTGTCGCGCGTCATCGTGATCGCGGGGCACACTTTACAAATTTTTTCGGCTGCGGTCGGTCCCTTCAAATTAGTTGGCCAGACACCTTATCTCGAGGTGTCTACTGGCCGACTCCGAGGGAAGAACAAAAAATAAACGAACGTATTCACCTCTTCTGTAGGCCGCGGTGACTCAAGAAGAGTCAGAAGAGGAACGAAGCTCGAAGAATGCGTGTTTGGTTTGAATCGACGGAATCTTGTAGGCATCTTGTAGGTAGTCGCAGGCACGACCCGAAAAACAAATTAAAACACCAATAAACAAAGTGTACCAATAAAATATTATATTTATACTTTAAAATTTTTAAAATTTTAATTTTTATTATAGTAATTAGTGCTTTGATAAGTTTAAATAATTATATAATACATTTTATATTTAAATTAGAGGTATTGCAGGTAAATGTTGTATTATTTACCAAATTATCTTGTATTATGTTTATATTTCACTGATAAATTGTTTTTTAATATATTTTGTATTTATTATGATTTCAGGGAGGAATTAGCAATGAAAATTGGTTTAACAGAAGCACGAATTCAGGTAAGCATTCAATTTTACATTATACACATTAATTACATCAGTAATATAAAAAATGAATCGCCAAATCTGTTGGTATGCGCATAACTCAACAACGCCTTGACCAATTTAAACAATTCATTTTCTAAATGTTCGCTAAAGTCCAACGATGGTTTTTATGGCGAGAAAATTTTGAAAAATTGCCGAGAAAACCCCAAAGACAGCACTTTTCTATAAGATAAAAGTTGTCATTGAGATACAATCATAGTTATAGTTAAATAGTTGAATCCGAGATGGCGCGCTGAAGTGCATTATTAGCTATTCTTTATATAATTAATTCCTTTAAACTAAAATTGCAAATCTTATTGATAGAATTGACACATACTATGTCTAAAACAATAGAGTAAAAACGAATTACATTTTTATTAAACACTACCGGGACGAAGTCGCAAAGAAAAGCTGGTTATATATAAAATACTCATTTAATATTTGAATTAATATGAAAATATTTCCTGAATACTTATTTTTAACACTAGTACCCAAAGCTTTGATAAACTTATATACTAATTAATGGAACTATCGAACTAATGCATAAAATTAATCGAATTCACTGAGTTAACCTGTTGTAATAGCTCCAAACGTAGTTATTATGCATAAATTCCGCGAAGAGGTATAAATTAATAGAAAACACCATCATAACTATGATATACGACGTTGATTCGCCTTGATTTTGCTGATATACGAGCTTAAAACACCAAAAAACAAAACATCAACGCAGTTCTTAACAGTGTTGCTATTTTTACTCCTGCTCTTAGCCCCACATACTCTACGAGTGCAGCAAGCCTGCAGTCTTCTTGTCTCTTGTCTCCTGATTCCTCAACAGTCTCAACAACATTCGAATTCCAATTATCGCTAATTACATGTTGCGTCTGCGGGCTGCGAAGGTACTTTCCGCGCAAAGTTGAAGTTACATGCAACATTTACACAATAAAATTAATAAAAACTTAACTAAAACCAAAAATATCTTAAGAGTTAGTGACAGTTGACGATATTAATAATAATCCTTGCATCTCGACGCAATCTAACACGACATCACATGTTGCATCAATTAATTCATCATCGAATCGTAAATGTTGCATTTGTGAACAGACTGTATGCTGAATGTCGATGAATAATTTGCGGAATTCATGTCCTGATCGTCGGTTCGTCGTAAAAAGCAATTACGTCCTCATTGCGCGTTATTAATAATGATGATCGATCGACTTATAACGTTCTTCAACCTGTTTGCTTTTGTTGAGTATTGGAACTGTATTAGACGCGTTTTTATGCGCTTTAATTTACATGTTTTTATTAAATAACGATCGCGCGCGGATGGGATTTAATCTTAATGGAATATATGCGCTCGATTAATTCAAATTGCGATGATTGCGAATGACGTCCGAGCAGCTGAGATCGATTTGCATAATTAAATTAATGCACAACGCGCATAATCAATCAGGAAAAAATAACAACGCGGAAAAACCTAAGCCATATTCAATTTGAATTTGTTTTAGGCAACATAATTTACATGAATCATGACGAGACAGATTCAGTAAGTTTAAACTAAAAATTTTGTCGGCGACTTTGTCCCGGGAGTGTTTAATAAAAATGTAATTTGTTTTTACTCTCTTTTTCTAGACATAGTATGGGTCAATTCTATTAATAAGATTCGCAATTTTATTTTAAACAAATTAATTATATAAAGAATTGCTAATAATGCCATTCTGCGCGCCATCTCGGATTCAACTATTTAACTATAACTATGATTGAATCTCAATGCCAACTTTTATCCTATAGAAAAAGGTTGTCTTTAGTGTTTTCTCGGCAATTATTCGGATATTTCTCGCCTTATAAACCATCCTTGGACTTTAACGAATATTTAAAAAAAGAATTGGCCAAATTGGTCTTGGCGTTGTTGAGTTATGCGCTTACCAACAAATTTTGCAATTAATTTTTATATTTTAAATATTATTAAACAATCAGTAAACGTGTTCATAAATCAACATCTAATATCTTTCATTTACTGTTTAATTTGCACCACTATTAAAGCTGTCATAATTTACTCGCTTAATAATATAATATTATTAAGTTATTAATAATGATTAATGCACAATGATTACTTGTGGGTGTAATAATCGAAAAATCCACTCGCTGGATAATCAATTACGCTATGTGTATTTGTAAGTTTGAGTTGTTGGCTCTTTTAATTTATGTTACCCTTCAGCAGTCGTCAAATTAATTCCCCGGCTGGAGAAACTTTCGGCACTCTGTGGGAATTCATCTTGCGTCTTCTTCTTCGTGCCTTTTCTTTGATTCACCTTCTAATTTAAAACCTTCGTTAGCATAACGTGCGTGTTTAAAGCCGTGTTCAAAAAAGCGCCGCCGCGCCGTGGGGAAAAAATTAAAAATTAATCGAAAGCAAATTAAAACCGCTAAGCATACACAGCACAACACACAATACAGAGAAGGAGATAAATATGACAAAATGTTGTGTGGCGGCGGCGGTAGACCGCCCGCGAGGGCCGAAATTGGCTCAATGCTGTCCCGCGGCGCGAAGACGCTGTGCGCGGCACTCAGGTACAAAAGACTCACACCGAAACTCCGAAACGCATTTTCGGCTAGCAATTTATTTATTCTTCTATTAATTTAATGAAAGGAAAAAATAATGTATGCAACCCAATCTACACACCATAACTGTGCATGTAGCATACAGCTGCTAGAATAAGTTTGTTTGCTGTTGTGGTTATGATGGTTATGATGATGGCATGATGTTTGCATGAAAAGATAATGAAACAATGCAGCATTAATCGACCGCCGACGCGCCGCGCATCCGAGCAATAAGTGGCACCGTCGAGCGTGTAATTGCAAATTTATTATTATTATAAAATCCGTATACTCGCGCGCGCACACTCAAGGATACCAGCCGGCCATCGTGTGCTTTGTTGTCTTGTTGCAACGCGCAGAAAGATAAAATACTTCTGAGGCACAAAACAAAGAAAAACGAGCGCGAGGCGCGTGTAATGTAACGTGAAACACAGAAATTGCGATGAAACTTCAGATAGACGTCGCTTAGCAATGCGGTGTGCTTTGTACAATTAAAGTTAATTAATTTTTATGCTAAAATAAGCATTTATAATAATTACTTTATGTATGCAGCCCACTCAACACACCCGATGATTGAAAAATCAATAAATTTTATTTTATTTGCAAAAAGTTGAATAACTTGACTAATTATTATTGGATTGTTATCAAATTTTAATCGTGATTAGTTATAGAGGTATACTATAGTGTAGAGTAAATAAATGTCAAATATAATTACGAGGCGCTGAGTTAATGGTGTTTAAAGTTGAAGAAATTTGTAGCATTTAATTATTTTTGCTTTGTTTTATAAATTTCAATATATCTTTATGATTTATGAAAGGATTTTAACCAAATTTTAAATATGCTTGCTGATTAATATTAGTGATGTTGTGGTTTTTAAAAATTTTAAAAATATTATGCAGAAGCTGAGATATTAAGGATTAAAAGATAGATAATATTTTTAAACTGAAATTTTATATTTTTTTACGTTTTATGTTATAACTTAATAAATATTAGAAGAATAATTAATAACTTTGACTCATCACTAGACCATAAGAGCATTTAATTGGTAGTAAAATATTAGTTTTGAAATATAAATTAGCAGCGGAGTTATTAAAGGTTAAAGTATGACTAATATTAAAATAAACAAAAAATGAAAACAAAATGAGTTTGACCTTAAATAAAACATTTTCAATAATTTTATGGCGGTTATGGCATTCTCGGTGTAATTTACGAGTTTGTGATTTTGTAGGTGTAATTTAATAATTTTTATAATGCGATCGCAAATTCAATTATCTCCGAGGCGAGACCGCGGCGTTGTTACGTAATTGATTGCCGCGCGGCTAATTTAGCGTCGCATTATTATTACAAGTGACTAACTGCAATTATTCACATTAAATACGCTTGTTTTGCTTTATATATCAGCGCCATTTTTTCTCGGTATACGTTTATAGATTAATTCTCAAACAAAACAAAGGAATACATTGATGTCCGTTGCTCGGAATGATATCCAATTATCAATTACGAACGATTACGGGGTTCAAATCGTAGAAATCGATTTGATTACAACCTTTTTTCGCTGCGCCGTCGTCTTTTACACTGTAATTTGAAGCGATTCCTCGTACGTCTCCTGATGGCGTCGCTGTCATTACGGTAAGATGGCCGCCATCTTCACGAAATGATAGCCTACGCACGGCGCATTATCGGATTATATGTCGAATTATGCGCGCAATCGCGTTTAGCATTGAAGAATTGTAGAATATCACAACGATGTGAAAGCCATAATGTGGCCTAATGAGAAAATTACAGGATGGAATAACAGATTTCACAATTTAGACAGTTTAAGTGGCGCCATCTCCTTTATCACACGCATAGCAATCATAAAATGTTTTATTCTGTTACTAGCTTTTGCCTGCGACTTTGCTCTGGTAGTGTTTAACAAAAATGTAATTTGTTTTTCTCTCTTGTTCTAGACATAGTATGTGTCAATTCTATCAATAAGATTCGCAATTTTATTTTAAAGAAATTAATTATATAAAGAATTGCTAATAATGCACTTCAGCGCGCCATCTCGGATTCAACTATTTAACTATGACTATGATTGAATCTCAATGCCAACTTTTATCCTATAGAAATGGGCTGTCTTTATGGTTTTCCCGGAAATTATTCAAAATTTTCTCGCCGTAAAAACCATCCTTAGACTTTAACAAACATTTAAAAAAAGAATTGGCCAACTTGGTTTAGGCGTTGTTGAGTTATGCGCTTACGCAATTACAGGAGTTTGACGTAAAATAAAGTAACTAATTGTGAAACCTAATTAAATGCAAATCAAGCGCGCGCACTTAATCGCTCGAGATAATAAAAACGCGAAAATTCCGCGCCCGCTGATCGTTAACAAAGCAAAC